AGCCTGGTGAGAGATTTCCCAGCAGAGTCTGGAGCAGGTCAGCCATGGCTTTACACACTTGTATTCCCCAGGATGACCTGGGAGCTCCCAGCAGGAGCCACTCGTCCCACACAAGCCTGTGGGTAGCCAGCTCAGCCTTTGATGTGCTGGGAGCTCCCCGAGTGGAGCCAGTGGCACAGCAGGTCCAGCCAGCCCTGGCGCCAGCCCCAGTGTGGGAACCAGACGTTCAAAAGAGCTCAGGTAGCCGCACCAGTCGAACCAGTGCTGCACCAGCACCCAAACCAGGTCTGCCTGGCCCCCCCTGCCCCAGGCATGGGGCTTCCCATCCTCTCCACAGCCCACCTTGGAACTGGGCTGGGACGGGCCCTACTGATCTGGGGAAGGCATGTCCCATGTCGGTATTGGGGATAGCCCAGACTTGTCACCCACACCCCAGGGCAGCCGGTCCCTCCTGGGGCAGCCCCACCTTCTGTCTTTCTGCTGATGCAGCCTAAAGTGTTGATGGGATGAGAAGGACCCGCTGGTCACCTACCCAGCAAATCTGGCTTCCCTTTGTCTCCAGCCACCCCCTAGGGATGGACCCACCCTGTGAGACCCCAGGGGATGCTCACCAGCTTGCGGATGCGGTCGAGGACCAGGTCGATGATCTCTTTCCCAATGGTGTAGTGCCCACGGGCGTAGTTGTTGGCCGCATCCTCCTTGCCCGTGATCAGCTGCTCGGGGTGGAAGAGCTGCCGGTATGTCCCTGTGCGCACCTCATCTGTGGTGAGAGAGAGCCCACCCGCCCCGTTAGCACCCAACATCCCATTAACATCACCCACCTCGCAACGTCCCCGCACTCACCGATCACCGTGGGCTCCAGGTCCACAAAGACAGCCCGGGGCACATGCTTGCCGGCCCCTGTCTCGCTGAAGAAGGTGTTGAAGGAGTCGTCCCCCCCGCCGATGGTCTTGTCGCTGGGCATCTGCCCATCGGGCTGGATGCCGTGCTCCAGGCAGTACAGCTCCCAGCAGGCGTTGCCAATCTGCACGCCCGCTTGGCCCACATGGATGGAGATGCACTCACGCTGCAGGGGCAGGACATGCGGCCGTGTCACCCCTGGGCTCCCCCCTTTGTCTGTGTCATCCCCACCCAGGACCCTGCGGGAGACACTGCCCCCAGGACAGGCTGGCACCGAGCTGGGAAGGGCCAGTCCCCAGGGCTGGATGGGGCCAGATCCTGCCCAGATGCACCCTATTGTTCTGGGGCCTGGCAGGCACCGAGTGCTGCAGGGGGTGTGCTCAGCTCTGGGGATCCCATCCTGACACCCCCTGAGGCAGCTGGGACCCTGCCCATTGTGGGATGGGGAGCTCAGCACTGGGAGCTCATCCTGCCCCAAGGGACTGGGACCACACCCAGGGCAAAACAGGGAGACCCGAGGGTCCCGTCCTGCCCTACCCCCCTGTTGAGACCCAGAAATGCCCAGTGGGAGGGGGGGCTCAGGGCCGGGGGCTCATCCTGCCCCGAGGGATACTCGCACTGTCGGAGCACAGGAGGATTCAGGCTCAGTGAGGGAGCCAAACACTGGTTGAAGCCATTCATACACACCCCCACTGTCCCGGAACCAGCTGTTGGGGTTCCCCAGGGTTATTCCCAGTCCCCACCTCTCAAGGCCTGCACTAGGACAGAAACAACTTCATCCACCCTCCCCACAGGGCTGCCCATTACCTCCCAACCCGGTTCGGGTGTACCCCCGGACACCACGGAAAGGAGACACCCCCCCCTCCATCTTTTCTCCGCCAGCCCTTGCACAACCCCAGGCTGCCCCGCTTCCCCCGCCAGCCCTGACCCATGGGGATAGGCGCCTGCCGGCAGCCCACCCCCAGCCGGGAGCCGGCTCCAC